TATTTTTTTTTTTTTTTGGTTTTAGTCTTTCACGAAACTTTTAAACTCACGTTGCACTGTCTTCTTCTTCTTTTTCTTCTTCTTCTTCTTTATACTTAATAAAAAATAAATCACAGTGTTTTTGTTGTAGTCGCAATTAAAATTTTCTCTCCAACACTCTCTCACTTTCTTTCTCTAAATATTTCATTCATCGTAATCCCAAGTTTTCTTGTGGTCACTTTTATTTAACTGTTAAATATCTTTGAAATTAAAACAACAACAAAATATATATTATATTTTCTTTTTCTCAGCTTATTATATCTACCAATTATATTATCGCATTGCCAAGGTGTGCATAAACAACAATTATATTCGTAACGTTCAAACATTTAAAAACAAAACAAAAAAACTTATAGTCACGTTCGTAAAATTCATAAAACACGATTGATACAAAACGATTCCAACCATTCAAACCATTTTCTTTTTTATAATAGAAGTAAACAATATAATCCAATAAAAAAAATAAATCAATTAAAATATTGAAATCCTAAAATGAATATTCTTTTTCTTTCTCTTAACACGTTGAGTGCCACGCGAATTCTTACAGAAATCTTCGTCAGGCCACGCGTGGCAAAACGAAAGGTTGAACGTCAGGCACAGGTGCCTGACACGGCCTAAACTACAAGTTGAACGTCAGACACATGTGCCTGACATGGCCTGAACTGTAAGTTCAGTGTCAGTCACGTATGACTGACGTGGCACACAACGTGTTAAACAAAATCAAACAATTTGAGGGTAAAATCATAGTCAAATTTACAATGAGAAAAAAGAAATAAGACAATAAAAACAAAAACAAAAACTATGAAATAAAAAGTTTGCAATAAACTCGAGAGTAAAAGAGACAAAGAGAGGGAATTGGGGATGGAAGGGGAGGGAAGAAGAAGAAAGAAAGAAAGAAGAGAAAGAGTAAGAGAATGAACTTTCACCCAAACCCCAAACCCCATACCCATACCCATACCCATACACTCGTACCCATACACTCGTACCCATACCCCCATAGCAGCAGCTATTATTGTTATCCGTTCTCGCGCTTTTAACGTAGCGCCATTACATATACATGACGCGTCATTACAAGCTCTTTGTAACCGGGAGCGATGTTTCATGTAACTCGAAAATGGGGTCATGTAACTCCGTTAACATTCCATTCTACGGTCTCTCATAACGCATTTCGGTGGAACGCCGAACGACAAGTAGTAATAGCGGCTAGTACTACCTCCTACCTATATTTAAAAAAAAAAAAAAAATAATAAAAAATAAAAAAGAAAGAACTAAAAAACAAAACGTAGTCAAAAGAGAATAAAGTAAATTCTAAAATAATATATTACGATAGGGTGATTGGAAGGGGATGAGGAGTGAGGATGAAAATGTTTCACGTGTAAACTCGAACCTTGTTTAACTCTAACATCGATTTATTATGAATGTTCTAAAAAAAAAAAAATAAATACACCTGTAATTCATTGTAATATATGTGTTTGTATGTAAATTAACACGTTCCTTAATGTCACGATTATGAAAAAAAATTTTTAATAAAATCACCATATGGATTACGATTGCATTTTTTTTTTTACTTCTGTGATAAGTATGTCTTACAATCATTTAAAAAAAAAAAATAATTATGAGAAAAAGAAAAGAGTATATATATATTTATATAGTTTAAAATGATTACAAGTGTTTTAAAAAAAAAAAAATAAATATTCCTGTAATTCACTGTAATACATGTATATGTATGTAAATTAGCACGTTCCTCAATGTCACGATTATAATAAAAATTTTTTTATTAAAACCACCATATGATTTACGATTGCATTTGTTTTTTACTTCTGTGGTAAGATATGTCTTGTAATCATTTAAAAAAAAATTAATTAAAAACATGATTATTAAAAAAAAAAAATAAAAAAAAATAAAAGAGTATACATAGTTTAAAATGTATAAAACGACATAGAAATGAATTTCTATTTTTTCTGCGAATTATTTAATAATAGATCACATGTAACTCAATATTATACTTTTAATTTTACAATCGAAAACAATCAAATGAAATAAAAATAAAAATTCACAGTGTAAAAAAAAAAAAAAAAAAATATACAAAAAAACTCGTCCGTTTCTTTCTCATTAAAATAAAATAAATAAATAATAATGTTTTTTTCTACAAATTATTCAATAAAAAAATAACGTGACTTAATATTATACATTTAATTTTACCATTGAAAATAATCAAATGAAATAAAAATAAAAATTCACAGTGTAAAATAAGGAGGAACATGTTAATAGATAAAAAAAAAAAAAAAGAAAATAAGCAAAAAACTCGTCTGTTTTTTTCTCGTTGAAATAAAATAGATAAATAATAATAATAACAATATTAATCTTTATCAGTAATAACCAAGAGAGAAGAATTGTTATCTAACATTTAACGTGTATAACTAGCGATGACCGTCAAGATAAAATCGATACGTGTCTTTATATATATTTTCTATCTACCTTTTATATATATAGATAGATATAAAGAAAAACGAATTAATGAATAAAATATCTTTGATCTTTAATCTTGTAAGTGGGACCTAATTTGTTAAACGAATATTAAAACTCGAATGAATACTTAAGATTAACTTACGTAAAACAAGCTAAAGTACAAAACAGAAATATAATTATGCGATTAGGAGATATTAACATATAAGAAATACATAAAATTATACGTCATTCTTGATACCTAATAAAAATAAAAAAATAAAAATAAAAAAAGAATATATTAAAATGTTAATTTCATTCTCCGTAAACGTCGTCGTACGTGCAATTCAACTCGTATCCTATACACCACGGTTGCATACTTAATTACATTCTTTTAATTTATATATATATATATATATTATATTATTAATTTTTATACAAACTTCAAATTGAATTTCAAAAATAGAATGGAATAATAATCTATTATATCACATCGTATATCAAAGTATATTTTAAAAAAAAAATAAAAAAAAAAAATAAAAAATACTTTGAATTTAAATGACGTCTATCGTAACTTATATACATATTCAATACTCTAATATGTATTTTATTTTTCCTTAAAAAACTACTTATTAAAATAATTATTACATCTTTTCAATAAAATCTTTCTAAAAAATTCCAATAAAATTTGAAAAAACAAAGAAATACTATTATCAAATTACATAGAAATAAAAATATTACAAATCAATTGAAACAAAAATATATTATTAAAAATGTAATAAACATTAATAAAAACTTTTTAAATATACTAAATTTTCTATAGTATATAATTAACACCTATATACAAATTCAATTACTTATTATTTTATTTTTCCCTAAAAAATTACATATTAAAATAACTATTACATCTTTCTAAAAAATCTGATTTAAAATAAAAAAAAAAAGAATACTATTATCAAATCATTTAGAAATAAAAATATTAAAAATCTATTGAACAAAAAATATTTTTAAAAATATAATTAACTTTAATTAAAAACTTGTTAAGTATATAACTGATTACCTATTTTATCTGTATATAAAAAATAGAAAAACAACCTTGATTGCAATAAATATGTTCATTAATTAAATAAAATAAAATAAAAATGAAATAACAACCCGTACGCACACGTAGAAAAAAAAACCTTGATCTTGCAATAAATATGTTCATTAATTAAATAAAATAATAAAAACATATATAAATGAATACATAAATATTATACAAACTCTTAAATCATTCAACCAATCAGAGTTAGACAGACAGACAGATAGGTCCCATAAAAGGAATAAAGAATGGTATTCTTCCTCATACCGATCAAGAAAGAAATCGATCGGGAATCGATCGATCGATGATGGCGAAGGGCCAACTCACCATCAGGGACAACAAGCAGGCAGACACAAACAAACACACCATGATGCACTGTGTACTGTTACAATACTAATGGGGGGACGAACAAGTCACGAAGAAAGTTATCGCGAATCTCGTATAATCGTTGTTGAGATCCTTAACCACGCGATCCTCGTGATTTCTTCAATCCTAACTTCCCTCTTCCCCTTTCAACCATCCCAACCACCCCAACTTCTCCCTAACTTCTCCCTCAAACCCATCAACCCCCACTCAGAATACCCAACCTCCTCTTCTTTCCTTTCTTTCTTTATTATTTTTCTTTTTGATCGTTATCGCGACGAGTATGCATCCGGGGAAGGGGAAAAGGGGGTTGGTATGAACAGGGGGTATGCGCGTTCACGAGAACGAAGTACGAGCCTATGGGTTTTTTTTTTTTTTTTTAAGGATTCTCCACACCATAAATGTGTGTATGGCTATTAAGGAATAAAATGTTATTTAATTAATAACAATTGATAGTTAGGTATATTCACACGCCTATTCGTTTAGAAATTGTTTTTTTTTTATTTGTTTTTTTATTTTTATTTTTATTTTTTTTTTTATGAGTACTATCTTCGATCGTGAGGGATATGGGGTAGGTAGGTATAGGTACGTGTGGAATATACACCTGCCGAATAAACAATAAATCATTCATCGCGTGCATATATATTACATATTACAAATATACATGTGTATAAATATATATGTGGGTGGGTGTGTATGTGTATACTTGCTTATATGATTCATCCATTTATCTGCCTTCCTATATTATTTGTCTATTTGTCTATTTATCTATTTAATTATACTAAATTATATATATATATGTTTATTTAATTACACGTTTTCAATGCAATTATATATTGAAATACTGAATATAAGTGTAATCATTTAATTAATGTTTTAATTTAAAAAAAAAAAAAATAAATAATATTAATATGAAATATTTGGATCGATGAAAAAACTCTAAGGAATTGTTGTCATTTAAAAATAAAAAATAAAAAATAAAATTAAATAAATTTATATATTGAAATACTGAATATATATAAGTGTAATTATTTAATTAATGTTTTTATTTAAAAAGAAAAAAATAAATAATATTAATGTGAAATATTTGGATCGATGAAAAAACTCTAAGGATTTTTGTCATTTAAAAATAAATAATAAACAGATAAAAAAAAAAAAAGTAAAAAATAAAATTTAATAAATTTATATACTGAAATACTAAATACATAAGTGTAATAATTTAATTAATGTCTTAATTTTGAATAAAAAGAAAAAAATAAATAATATTAATCTGAAATATTTGGATCCATCAAAATAATTCTAAAGATTTTC